AACAAGGGGAAACGGAAATGCGCGGCAAGAGAGAGAGAGAGAGAGAGAGAGAGTTTCGCTTGTTTTCTCCATTTCTTATGGGACGGATAGTAAAAAGGAGCGACGAGAAAACTCTTTCTTCGAGTGGCTGGTTAAGAAGTTTTTATGAGTTGCCGGCATCTACGGAATGTTGAAAGTCAATCAATTTTGCGCGGCCTTTCGTTTCCCTCGCGATGTGTTTGTCACTCTTTTCAACGCGAGATCAGAACAAGACGAAAAAGAATCGGACAAGCAATAAATTATATATTTACATATCTCTGATTAAGATCGTTCAAAAAGAGTATATTTCCTTTCTCGCGAGCGGAAACGTACCATTGCGGTGAGTCACCAGCGGTGAAAGGACGAGTTTACGCGTCTCAAAGTGGAATCGATACGGCCAGGATCGTTTCGGATCCTTATTTCCACGCGAGAAGAACCGCATGAGAAATTTCCTCCTTTCGCAGCAACCGAAGAATCCGGTCAATCCGTCGATAAAGTTCTCAAATAAAACGCGCGGCAAGACTCTCTGACGTTTGCCACGTTAAATGAAACTGATTTCCACGCGGAGGATAAAGGCGAGATCGCGCAAGTTTCGATGCAGCATGGGGCTTTGTCGAGCGATCTGAAAAGAATTTATTTGGAAAAGAGTTTTCCCGCGCGGAGAGAGTGTCACGTTTACTTTTGATCAAATTTACTCGGCCGAGTAATATTTTATTCTCGTTTACCTAAATTGGATTCCCTCGTATTTGATGTACTCGCGCGTGCAACTAACGATACTTTGTTCTCATTCAAATTGATCAATTTTGTAGAAAACAATGAACGCAAAAGTCAAAAGAGATAAAAAAAAAGAAAAACAGATCCGACGTCCGCGTGTTTCACGTCACGAAAATCAGGAATGCGGAATCGCGGATATAATAAGCGCGAACTGCGAGACTGTCAATTGTGGGAAACGCGGAACGGTTAAAGTAATTAACGCGGACGGCCGCCGCCACGGCCTCTAATTTTTTTTGCCGCTAAAAACAGCTAATGGAATCCTTTTCGAGCTCTCGAAATTCGATTTCCTTGCGCGAAGCCGCATCGCACGGGCCGCAAAATGTTATTTCCGCGTTCGCGCGGACCATCTGTGCGTTCCTGTTTGAGTCGAATTCACGTTTAATGAAAAAATACCTCGGACGCCTGCGCAAAGCTAGTATATCCTTGTATAACAGCAATAAACAAAGCATACTTTACGAGTTTTACGAGCGAGAACAGCGGCATGTAAAATGTTACAGCGAAACGTTATAGCGAGGCTGTCAAACGTCCCGCGAAAAATTCGCGGGATAAATTACGCAAAATTGCAGCTACTGTAAATTGACATATAGCACATCGATATATATTTCCGTCGACTTGTCGATAGGACCTCGAGAAATGCGATTTTCAAAAAAATATTCTTAAAATTATGAAATTGTTTTCATAATAATCATTAGCGCAATTAGCTGAGATTGAAATTAATCACGATAGTATCAGATAATGTTTCATAATTTATATAATACTGCATAAATTATGCTTACACTGCCTGTAATATACAATAAATTATCTACAACATCTCGGCCAATAAATTATTCCATACAAATCAATATATTATTTTGAAGAATTTATGTTTCATTAATATTGATTAAAATGTTCCTAACAATATGCGTGCATACAATAAATTTTTGAATATAGATATACTAATTTCAAATTGCTATAACTACTTTGTTGCTTTTCACATATCACATATCACATTTCATTTTGCATTTTACATTTCGCTTTAATTAATACCTATCAATAGAAATTTATATTTTTTGATCCGCAATGAAAATTTTGTTCAAAATTCATGAGAGACGACGATTCTAATATTCAAAAATAAAAGAAAAAATCATTATTAATTATAATGAATGTATGCATTAATTATGGAATATTTTTAGCACCTGTTCTGTGTCCCGTCAATTTTATTCCTGCCGGTTAAAAAAACGTGAAAAATACAAGCGATTACATTTAGACTCTAACTTCGGTTTACTGTGGCGCAAACTGAAACGAATATGGCGGTGCACGAACACGAGCACACGTAACTTGTGCGTTTTATGGTTTCTCTGTATCGTTCGCGAAAAATACGATCTTTGTTTTTATTACGGATCATTGCAAAATCGAAAGTCCAATTTATAATAAAGCCATTTTAATCTCGCAAATTACTAAAGAGTTTTAGCAATGGGAGTTTCAAAAATGCTGAAGCTATAATCGAATACTGCGAATCTTCCTAAGCTAATCCATTTGATAACTGCATTTACCATGTTAAAAGGGAAGATAAATTTATTCCTAGTACATAAAATGGAAGGAAACAAGAATTCAAAGGCGAAAAGCGTTAATTTCCACGAACAATATGCTACGTACAGTCAACGACGCAGATTTCTCTTTGAATTGTTTATATTAATAACTCTCCTTCTCTCTCTCTCTTTCTGCTGATGGAATAACATCAAACGTTCTCTAAAATGTTTCTCTGTCCCATTAAAACATCGCATAAGTAGTTATGTATTCACCGACGAGACGCTGAAACCGAGTTATTGAGTTTGTTCCAGTTTTTGGAACATTAAACGGACCGTGGACGAGCACATTTTCACGCGTGTATTTTAATCAAAGACGCGATGTAAGAATCAAAGGACCAGAAAGATCTCACTGCACATGAGAGAGAGAGTAAAGATCTCACGGATTGCGCTTCTTTTAAAGGTAAATATAACCGGCAAGGCGCCGAAGGTATCAATGGCGATCGTAAAAACGTGCGAAAATACGAGCGCCGAGTGCGAAATACGCGATACCTTTAATAAATTGTACAAAATCGAAGTAAAGGATAGATGCTGGGAGTTATTGATAAATAACTCAACCTTCAACTTGGAACTTAACAGACAATTCTCAACCGTCAAGTCTGAAATGCTGTTAATTCACGAGGGAAATATTATTTAAAGATGATAAAAAAAAGGAATGTGAGGTAATCTTTAAATGGTCGCCAGGCGAATAATGTAATGTTGATTTGTGTACGATTATATCGTTATTATTCATTGTGTCAATTTATTTTACCCAGTAACGCAAATTCCAGTGGTCGTCCACCGAAACCACCGCTATCCTATTTTCACATGTGTTCACAAATTAAAAGATAGACTGAATATGTAAAATACCATACGTGCAATTATTCGATGCAAGCGTTACGTCTACGAATTAACAAATTTAGCCATTAATTAGCCTTGTATATAATTTTCTCAAAAAGTTTCCTTTGATTAATCGCAACATAGTAAAGATTTTGTGAGCGATTTATTGCTTACTTTCGGAGCCGCGAGATCGATGTGGCGCGAAATCGCGCCGGCCGGAATAATAAAAATTATCGAACAGCCATCGCGAGGGTCGATAGAGAGAAGAGAAAATTGGGAGCGGGAAACGAGCGCTGCCTCTGACATTAATTAATCATACGCGGAGAGTGGTCGTGTTACTCGAGTCTGATGAATTATCGCCACCTGAGGAGTCTGCGGAGTCCTCGACGATATACGACCCGCCGTCGTATCTGCCTACGATAATTCTCTTTATTCGAGCGCGCCACAGGGAGCGGCAAATTCGCTAACGATGTTTCGCTCGCCTGGCATTATTAACACGCGGAATATCGCGGCGCGCGAAGAGCAAACGTTTAGTCCGCGTGTCGGCGCGACGAGATATCTTACGGCCGGCTTTTCGGAAGCGCGACACTGCAATCCGCGCGCTTCTTCACCCGGGAAAACATTCGTCGATTAGTTAACGCGATAATGAAAAAGTGACACCGTTACAACACAAGCATAACGCGAAACGCGTTCACCGATATCTACGCTCTGGTGTATAATACACGAGTGTCATTACGAAACTTGTTAAAGTACTCACATTTTGTATTTGACACGATTCCTCATTTAAATAATATAAAAATCGCATAGACTGTGCTGTGCTCGTAACATTGTTGCTAAATTAAAGTTATTTTAAATATAATTAAAATATAATTAAGATATAATTTAGATTTAGAAGTGCGATTTTAAATGAAAAAAATGTCGTGGGTATAAGTGATGTCAGGAGATAAGACTTTAAGGTCAAAAATAATAGATGTGCGATAGCAGAACAAAGATATATGCACGGGAAGTACATGAAAAATTTAATCTAAAAAATGTCCGGGGAAAGGTAGCAACGCGCGAAAAAATCTCGCACCTCCATTTGCGTTATTAAACATGACAGAGAAGAGAATAGAGAGCGCCTGTAATAATATCGCGAATACAAAATCCAGAATAGAGCGTATAGACATATCGATATGTCATAACACCTGCTACCAATGTGCAATTATCGACATCGTGAGCACAATTCTCTCAGCATCGTGCTTTTGTGAAAGATCGAGGGAATAAAGACCGTATAATACTTGAACGAACCGTGAAGATGCTATAATTCGTAATCGTATCGGGACACGAAAATCGACGTGACGGATTACTCTAACAATCCGCTGAGAATTTAAATACTAATATCCCAATATACTCGCTGTTTCATAAAACAAAACGTTGTTCTCAAATTCTAATATCAGACATCTAAAATAATAGCTTTATTATATTTCTTTTTATTTATTTATTTTATTTTTTTATTTTTTTTTTATTATATATAATTTACTTATTTGTTTATCGTCAACTTACAAGAAGAAAAAAATCATATTATCTAAAAAAATATAACATTCCCCTGATATGATATTAATATTACTCACTATATTCTTTATAAAAATATGAATTTTTGAGAAAAGTTTTAGTAAAAGATCTAAATAACGATTCTGATAACAAATGTTGCACAATTTTTCCCTCTTTTCCCTCGATCGGCGTGATTACTAATGTCGTTCTTTCGCAACCGCGTGCGTATTGGCAAAGGAAAAAAAGTGGTACGCGCGCAATCGAACTTTTTATCGCGAGCAATTTTTCACGTACATTGTTGCCCTCGAAGATCCCGGCCAGCATGATAGTCGTCGCCAGCTGAAGCGTGTCACGTGCCAGGCTCGAACGTGTAGTTTTTCTTGCCCGCGTCCGAAAGAGAGAGAGGCCCTCAAACTTTTCACTGAGAGCTTTCGTTTTCACAACAGCTCGTCGTCGAACCGCGGTGGGAAAACGAGGGGAAAAAAGGCGATCGGAAGAGAAGGGAATAACCGCGGGGGAGTGTGTGCGTTTCCGATCGTGCGTGACCACTCTGGGGGGGAACCACGGGGCAGATCGCGAGCAGGTTGACACCTTCAGGGAGGAGATCGCGCGTAGAACTGACACCTCACGCGCGCGGTCCAGCTACCCTCAGCATCCAGCGGTGGTGGCGGCGGCGGCGGCGGCGGCGGCGGCGGCGGCGGCAGCAGCGGCAGCCGAGGGGGATGAAGCCGAGCACGCGCGAAATTCCGTCCCCTCCTCCCCTTCCCTCTGTTAACCCTCTCTCCCTCCGTGCGATGGGTTGTAGCCACCCATTCGCCCATCCGTTTCCTCTTCTCCTCGTTGCTCTCATCCACCACGACTCTCTTCTCCTCGGTCAAACCTCTGCCGTTGCCGCTGACACTCCACGCTCTTCGTTTCGTACCGAATTCGCGCCATCGTACACGAAATTTGACTTTACCGCTCGCTAGTGTCCGCATCAATCCCTTCGTTGCGAAAACTACTGTTCACGGATATTGCTTTTTTCCCTCGTACGACACAGTGATAATTGAGTACGTTTAAATGAACTTTTCAATAATGAAGAATATCTTTTTAAAAGAATTATTGTCATGTTCAGCTTTTGTAATTCAGTAATAAATATATTTTTTTTCAATAAGGTTAATACTTATAGTATGGGAAAACTATTTTAAAATTTCCAACGAGTATATACGAGCATATTATTTAAATATACTTTTGATACTTTTTTATAACTAATAATATAAAATTAATAATATAAAAAATAAAGAGAAAGTGGAAATAAACGATGATTTTTAAAAAGCGAAAAGCAGGAAATTGTGGCTATGTCTCCGAGCATTATGTTATATAATTATTTCGCATGGATGATTCCTGAGTTTTTAAGCTTCTTCCATCCGTCCTAGTTATCTATTTCTCAACGACTCTGTTTTGCCTTAATTAACAAATTGCAAATCTAGAAAGAGCTTAAAAATGTAAAATTAAAGAAAAGAAAAATTATTCCATTTCCCCGCTGTCACATAATTATTCGCAACATTTTATCGTTTATTTTTTTAATAAAAATTATTATCGCGGCATGATATATTTATAATCGAAGAATAATTATGAAATTAAATATTTGCATTAAATGCCGTGCAAATCAGTGAACCTGATTAACGATAATTATTAACGATCCATACATGTTATAATGAAAAATTTTAATATAATTTTTGAGCACTGTTCTATATAATAAAGTAAAATTATTAAAAAACTTTTTTTCTCTACATCGTCAACTATTATTTTTGCTGGAGTACTCGACATTTATTATAACCTCTTTGCAATTGTCCAGAGTGAACACGCAAACTGCCCAAGCGAGCAAATTCTGCGCCAAGTAATTACATCGCACAATTGCATGAATATTGCACTTCGGGAGAAAAAAATAATTACGCCGAGCTTTTCGCGGGACAAAAATGTAATTTCCGTCTCGAGCTATTCGACGTAGCTTGTTTTACAGATTTCTAATCTTAGCCCGTAAATTAAAAAAGAATGTTGATTTTTCATACGTTTAATAACTATATTTGTGCGATCGTATAATATTGCGCAGTTTTCATAATTTTATCATTCCGAATGTTAGATAATTAATCTTATCTCTCTAACAGCACTATGGTCATTAATTAATATTGCGTATATTGATTTTAATGGAACATATCGCCGAAAAAATATAATATAATCCGGCGATAACTCTCACGCATCAAAATTGATCTTCAGCGACCTTAAGCATCTGGCCACCGTACCAAGGTGACGGTATGCGGTCGAACACGCGCGAAATTTCACCCCTGCTCATCCACCTTCTCAACGAGAACAGCCCCTTTACGGCCCTATTTCGTCCGAGCGAGCGCCTCGCACCTACAAAGGGGCGTCGAGGGCTGAAACCCTCCCTAATAATTATCAGGCAATGGAGGCCATATTGCGCGAGCCGATGACCCGGCGGTATGGAATATTCAAGCGACACCGACGCGCGTAAACCAGATCGCCTCAGAACCTAATTAAAATATGCAGCGGGAAAGACGTAACGTTAGCGTAGTAAAACGTAGAGCGACGGAACGTAAAATTTTTAATTTTAGACGGACTCGAAAAAACGACGTCGACGTTTAAAACCCGCCTTGTGGTCTTATATGTTACCACTCTCTATTTGCAATTTCTCCTCCCAAAAAACACAGATGTGGATATATTTTTAAATCCTAAACTTTTTTCTTTTCTATTCTTGTAGAAAGTAGTATTCTTCCGCTTCTGGTTTACAGTTTTTAACATTGGAAACCTTTGTGGCGTACTACGGCTTCTTGCAACCCTGCAAGGGCTGTTCCGACGGGGGATATCGAAAGCTGCGAAATCTGGTCGAATGATTTCATTCTCGTCGTACATATCAGATGACTCGCTCGCATGCGCACGAGCGTAGGTGTGTCGCCCTGTAATTAACCGGGCGCTGCCGACCTACAATAATTACCCGGTAACACCGACCGGGGGGATGAAGGACCGAGCGTGTGTTACTGCGTTGCGACCGATAACCCCGGCCCCGAGATTATTTAAACGCGCAATCGCGAGTGTGTCAGTTTCGATTATATAGTATCGCAACGCTACGAGGCGACAATAAATAAAGCCGACCGCGCGCGTCATTTCGATCGCAATTTAACGAGCTCTCGCGAAACTCTTTGTCCACCTCCCCCGCCCTAGTCGCGTTCGTATATCCGCCTGCGCGATTGTAAAAATATTTAATATTACCGGTGCGATAAAATATACGTGGCGTGTATACGCGATCCAGTGATCTCGAATCCCGAGGCGTTACGCCCGAAGGGTGTAAACAGTAATAATGATCCCTTAAAGCTACAAGATGCGTCCGCGCCCCGTGAACTTTCTCTATAAAGCGAGCCATAAATCCCCTCCTACCGACTCCATTCGGAATAGTTACTCCATATTACCGCGGGATTCGACCGGCGACACGTTTCCGGAATTCCCGTGCTCCTCGAACAAGAGCGGAGGGGATCTCTCGCTTGCGAGAAACCCGGCAATTAACGCAGCTGGGAATATTAAAAACGTCATTAGCGCGCGCGATAATTGCGCGGACGCGAGCGAGCACACCGCACTGGCGCGCTTGTCCGCCTTAAACACGCCCACTTGCCGACTCGCTTCTCTATCGCGGACTTTTAATAGCTCTTTTCCGCGGTGTAATTTATAATTTCTCCCGCGAATGTCAATACGGCAAAATTATGGCGAGATAAAGTCCATTTGCGCAATGCTAATAGGCGATGTTAAACGTTGCACTCGAATCAAATTCTCTCTCTCTCTCTC